CTCAGTTCCGGCCACTGCAGCCATTTAGGGAGTGACGCAGCAGATGGAAGACATCTCTCTCTGCCTTCCAAATAAGTAAATAAATATTTAAAGTAATGTAAAAATACATGCAATTTCTCTGAACTTATTAAAAATATTCTTCTAGATGCATACATTTTGTGCCTAGTTCATCCATCTACCCATCCATGTCTGATACTCACTCTATGGGACAGCACTGTCACAGGGTCTATTAATACAGCAGGGAACAAACTGGAGTCCCTGTCTTAGGAAGCTTACATTCCAGTGTGGGAATACAGACAACAAAATCATAACTAACAAAACAGAACATGCTGTGTGCCCTATACTGTGCTGTTTCATATGCATGGTCTCATGTAATCCTCACCACAACTTTAAGAGATAAATACCATTTTTTTAAAAAATTTTTTCACAGGCAGAGTGGACAGTGAAAGAGAGAGAGAGACAGAGAGAAAGGTCTTCCTTTTGCCGTTGGTTCAGGAGCTGATCCGAAGCCAGGAGCCAGGTGCTTTTCCTGGTCTCCCATGCAGGTGCAGGGCCCAAGGACTTGGGCCATCCTCCACTGCACTCCTGGGCCATAGCAGAGAGCTGGCCTGGAAGAGGGACAACCAGGACAGAATCCGGCGCCCCGACCGGGACTAGAACCCGGTGTGCCGGCGCCGCTAGGCGGAGGATTAGCCTAGTGAGCCACGGCGCTGGCCGATAAATACCATTCTTAATACCTCTTAAGTAGATGAGGAAGTTGAGTGTTTAGAGATACTGTCGCTTGCCTTCCACATAGCTAATTAAAGAATGACCTGGGATTTGAACCCTGGTGTTTCTGATTTCTTACCCCAGGGCTCGGCAAACTACAGCCCATTGCCATAACTTCCAATGAAACCAAATTTTACTGGAACACAGTTATGTTCATTCATTTATGTATCGTCCATGGCTGCTTTCACACTACAATGACAGAACTGAGTAGTTGCAATAGAGACCATATGGCTCAAGAGCATAAAATACTTTCTATCTGGTCCTTTACAAAAAGTTTGCTGATTCATTTCAGCCTAATCTAGGCTCAAATGATGTTCACTGAAAGAATAATTAACCAAATGGCCCTACTCCTTCATGTATATATTCATTCATTCTATTAACTTTTTTTTGAGCACCTTCTGTGTGTCATTCTTGCTTCCTTCTAAGATGTGGCTCCATCTGCACTGTTTCCTTCTATTTCTTGATCTTTCCAAAGAGTTCATACACCTGCAGTCTCTGTTGAAAGCTAAATCTGGTGCCTAATCCCCCATTGTCTGCCTTGTCTCGAGCCGAGACAAGAAAATCTATTTATTACTTTAAAAAATGACAAAAGAAATTCATCAGGATTTGGAAACTAAATTTATCATCTGGGAAGAATCCAAAAGATAAATCAAAGCACAGTTCTTTACTTCCTAGCTCATCCCTTTCTCTCAGCCTGGCTTTATGGGAATGGCAAGACAGCAGTGAAATTTAGGGCCAATATTGCCAGGAGAAAACACACTGACAGCTAAATTAGTTTGGCAGCAAGGTGGGATGAAGGGCTCTCAGCCAGGAATGGATTACAGGTCTTGAGAGAAGCCGGGGCAGGTAGCCACTCTCTTAAGATCAGTAGCAAAATGAATGAGCAGAAAGATGTAGCTAATCCCATGGCTTTGCAGAATGCCTCAGAGTGGGGGAGACACTGAAACTACAAATCAGGCCCAGGCACTCTGTGGTTCTACACTTCTAACAATTGCAAATAGGGGAAGAAGGCTAGTGAAGTGGAAAGTGAGGGAAAAGTTGAGCACACACCTGCAGATGAGAGAGGAGCTCATACACTTTGAAGTTAGCTGACTTAGTGAGAGGCCTGGCCATGGTCTTATTGCCATGTGTACATGGACCATGAAATCATCCTGGCAGCAAATATTTTGAGCCTCTGCTCAGTGAAAGGATCACTGGGGGTGTATCAAGAATTGTATGACCTTATTATAGTGGTTAATCCACCCAGCAATTCTATGAATTAGATATTACTATCCCCATTTTATAAACTGAGGAATCTAAAGGTCACAGAAGTTAAATATCTCACATACAAGGCCACATAGTCAAGAAGCGATATAAGTAGGATCTGAGCTTCCTGGTGTGTGCTGCTTCTTGGGTAAGAGGGTATGTACATGGGGCTGGCTTTGTACAGTAGCCAGTTAAGCCCCCACCTGCAGTGCCAGCATCCCATGTGGTATAGGTTAGAGTCCCAGATGCCCACTTCCAATCCAGCTCCCTGCTAATGTGCCTGGGAAAGCAGAAGAGGTTGGCCCAAGTTCTTGGGCTCCTGCACCCATATGGGAGACCTGGAGGAAGTTCCTGCTTTGGCCTGGCCCAGCCCCGACTGTTGTGGCCATTTGGGGAGTGAGCCTGTGGGAGAAGAACTCTCTCTGTCTCTTCCTCTCTTTCTCTGTAACTCTGCTTTTCAAATATATAAAATAAATCTAAAAAAAAAAAAAGAAGGTATTACATTAATATAAGAGTGACATTTGATTTAGAAAACTGTATTATTAAGAGTTGCTTTTTTTTTTTAAGAGTTCCTTTTAAGGTCTACATTAACCATGTACTTTTTGTCCTGTTGTCAAATCAGAAAGCCATGTGTCTGTGATAAGCTCACTGGCAGCACAACTGAGTTGTATCAGATCTGTCCCTCTCATTACCACTGTGGCCCAGTGAAGTGGAGATAGTTGGTGTTAAGAGGTGAGGTCTAGGAGATTAATAAAGGATATGTTAAGTTTGCTGCTATATGTGGACAGCAGTGCAGACACAGCACCTCTGTCAACAGACAGGGAGAGAAGCTCAGAGCTAAGGCAGACACTCTGGAGGTCATGAGTGGTGCAGGCTTGTGCTTTGACAAAACTCTGTTTTTGCTAAACATAGTGGTTCTATCCCCATTCACCTGCTTAAAATCACAGGATCGCTCATTAACATGAGTGGAGTTGGTTTTCAGAAGCAAAATGGGAGCCACATCCATTTCCATGTTTATGAGCATGGCCTGGAGTTTCTATGCTCAGTAAGGAGCACGAGGGGCCTGTACTGTGGTGCAACAGGTTAAGCTACCGCCTATGATGCCGGCATCCCATATGAGTGTCAATTCAAGTTCCAGCTTCTCAACTTTTGATTCAGTTCACTGATAATGCACTGGGGAATGCAGAAGATGACCTGAGTGCCTGGAACCCTGCCACTCAGGTGTGAGAGGTATGGAGTTTCAGGCTCCTGGGTTTAGGCTGGCCCACACCCAGCCATTGCGGCCACCTGGAGAGTGAAGCAGCAGATGGAAGATCTCTCTCTCTCGCCCTCTTTCTCTGCCTTTCAAATGGATGGATGGATGGATGGATGGATAGATAGATAGATAAATCTAGCTTTAAAAAAATAGGGACTGGGGCTGGTGTTGTTGGCATAGTGGGTAAAGTTGCCGCCTGCAGTGCCTGCATCCCATATGGGTGCCGGTTCAAGTCCCAGCTGCTCTACTTCCCATCCAGCTCTCTGCTATGCCCTGGGAAAGCACTAGAAGACCGCCCAAGTTTCTGGCCCCTGTACCCATGTAGGAGCCCCGGAAGAAGCTCCTGGCTCCAGGCTTTGGACTGCAGCCATCTGGGGAGCGAACCAGCGGGTGGAAGACCTCTCCTCCCCCACCTCTCGCTCGCTCTCTGCCTCTCTGCAACTCTGCCTTTCAAATAAATAAATAAATCTTGAATAAATAAATAAATAAAAGGAGTATGAAGTTCTAGGGGCTTCAGAGAAGGTAGGTGCACACTGCCCTGTGCATTTGTGGGAAACAGATCCTGACTCCACCAGAAGAGGATTCCCATTAACCTTCCCAGGGCAGCACAGGGAAAAGCCATTTTCCTCTCCGGTACCACTTCACTCTTTTTCCCCCCATTTCCTGGTTTCCTTTCTTAGAGAAGCTTCTGTAGCTTCTTCACCATACTTTTCACTCCATAAAGCCAGTAGCATGCTCTTTGGAACAGGAAATGAAGATGATCCCATATTGTTTCTTCCTTTTCTCCTACTCTTTCCTTGATATTTCCCCCATAAAATTCAGAATCTTGAAGTAGACCTCAAAGCCTTATGAGGCAGTCATATAGACTTGCAACAACCTCATTCCCACCTTCACCATCCCCAAGGTTTTAGGGAGGGGATGAGAGCTGGCAGTGACACCAGTTCCTCAGTTCTGAGATTCCTGGGCATCACCCCTTCACCTGTGACCCTACCTGCTACAAGGTAACATCAAAGTTCGGTTTTAGCAAAATGGAGTATTTCTAATACAAAAGCTAGGGATCCCTGTTACAGAGAGTTCCTGAATCTCTGAGGTGACTTTCAGGTGTACAAACCCTTGGGGGAAGCTCTGAAGCTCCTATCTGTTGACCCTCTTTTAGGATGACTCAGGCACAGAGGTTCTTTGTCATATCTCCTGGATGAGATAGGATTCAGCCCACATAGCTGTCTGCCTTCCATAGAACATGATCCCCACAATAAAGATTTATCATGGACCCATCAGAGTTTACTCACTTGGATTTAAAGTTCTCAGTATTTCCCAGCTTGCCTTTTAGCATCATGACTTAGTGGTTGACCACGCCACTGGAATCTATTTTCAACCTCCATAATAAGCTGCAACCCAGCCCTCTCTAAAAATGTCCACAGTGGCCACATCATAAGAAAAAAAAACCCTATAATTAATTAGTTATTCCTGCTTTCCTTGAGAGTGACCAGTTAGAGATGAAGTGTTCACTCATCTTTAAGGAAAGTAGCTCACTCTGTTCCAATTCCTCTGAAGGGTGAACAGAGGAAAAAGCAGGTGGCAACGAAATGCAGAAGTGGGTTATATTTAGGAAGAGTTCCTGGCCTATAGGAGTTTGCAGCTTCTAAATGAGAGGATCTTAGAGGTCACAGTGTCCTTCCTCAGTCCTCCCCATTCACGTCTCAGTGGCTAGGGTCCGTGTGCTCAACCTCACCTGGTTATTTCTTCTTTCAGGGCAGCAGGGTCTGCTGGGTAAAATTTCACACGGAAGCACATGGTGAATGGAGGCTGGGCTGCAGAAAAAAAGAGGTGTCCATCAAGGGAGAGCCTTTCCCGGAAGATGAGCAGGCTCCCCTCCCCGCCAGCAAGCATGGGTCTCGGAACCATCAGAAGAACCTCTTCCCATGTGTAGGGCCGACTCATACCCAGAAGAGCGGGAAATTACCTATGTGGGCCAAGCTGTGTTAAATATGGGAGTTGTCATCCCACCCGCCCCCACCCCAGGGGTGAGGTTTCCGTGTTTTCATGGAGAACACTTACATCTCAGCTGCTTCACCACGGACTTGGTAAACTCCAACCAATGCTGAAAACAGAACACAGAATATGAAACCTCTAATGAGAAGCGGTGTCAAACACAACTTGTTGTATCCAATTTAAATGACTAGACAGATTGTAGCCTAGGGTGAAAGCAGCCCCAAAGCTCGTGAAATATAGCTTTGGAGAGTAAAGAGTCATGTGATTTTCTGAAACAAGCTCCCTATGGAACCAGCTGTGAAGGGGGGAGTAGTTCCAGCTTCAGATGCCATTTCTGGGCCTCCCTGGAATGCTGCCTTCTACTGCATGATGCCAACGTCCTGAGCCATGTTTCTAGGGTGCCAGCAGGCACGAGTGACTGCCCGTATGTGTGGTGGGGACAAAGGCCCATCTGGCTTCAATGCAGGAGGAACACTGACTTTGATGGGCACTGTGGGTCTGTGCTATGTGCCAACTTTTTTTTTTTTCAGAAGAGAGAGGCTAGAGTCTGTTGGTAGCAATTAGAGTTTTGACAAGTGGAAACTGCATGAATGGAGTGAAGGCAGGGATGGCTTCTCAAACATCTTTGACTAACACAGGTCTTGCCAGCCCTTGTGTGAAACAACATGGACTCAGGATCCCTTGGCATCCAGGGATGTTTAAAATCTCAGAGTCTCCCAAGATAAGAAACCACAAACAAATGTATAGAATAGTATGCTGTTTCCCTTGGATTTTCACAGAGGCAGATACAGTGGCAAAGACATTTTTTGCTACAGTACTTATGTTTGGAGACAGGAAGCAATGAGATCATTCTGTATCTGTTTCAAAATTCTAATGAAATGATAAAATTCATTATTGATATTTGTTGCTTTTATGCTATTCGGGAACCATGTCAATTTGCAGAGAGCTAAACCTGCTGTTATTTGGGGGGTTTATGTAGAAGTAGCTGAAGGCCGCTAGATGTGAGGTCAGTGAGGGCAGAAGACTGTCTTCTTCACCACTACTCCACAGTGCACAGGTTCAGTACATAGCTGTTGAATGGCAAAGGGGCTGGGTCCACACTTCCCTCTTCTCTGGCTACATTCAGTTAGCGTAACATCCTGGCAGGCTCTCCTGGCAGGAAAGCAGCCAGGGCCATGCAGACAGCATCCTGGCCTCCCTCGGCTCCCAGCTCTCACCTTCTGGGATGGGCTGTGGGTCATGCAGTTAATGGACCCACTAAGAGCCAGTTCTTCCGTCAGCTCTGCATGGATAATCTGGGTTGACATTCTGCTCTCTTGCTTCCTCTGATCTGAGTTCCCACGAGGCTGGCAACTCATTATAGCCACTCAATGTGGTTAAGAGGTCCTTCTCACATTACACGGCCCACCGCGGCTCCGCTTCACGGGGAGGCAAAGGCAAGAGATGAAATTGCAGAGAAACAACTGGGGTTCCAGGTTGTGCCTGTGAGGGTAGAGGAGGCCTGTCTGCTCAGAGCACACCAGAACTGTGTACAGGTAAGCAGAGCACAGCAAGTGCCAGGGGCTCAGTAAACAGAATTCCCCAAGACATTAGATGGGTGGATTAAAAGAACTAAACAAAGGAAGACAAACATTTGGAGGAATGACTATGAGTGAGATGCATTATCAGCAGAGGGTGGATGGAGCTGAATGACAAAAAGCTATTCCTCTTGGCAATAGCTGGAAAGAAGACATTAGTTTGTACTGTAGTGAGGGCTCATGACAAGACTCAGGCTAGCAGAGATTAGGAAGGGGGTGGGAAAGGAGAGTAATGCCACATCTGCTTGTCCAAGGATGTTAAGGATCTAGTAGAAAACTAATGAGAAGATCCAAAGAATATAGTCATGGCCAAAGTTCCCTTTTGTAGCTACGTGGCTAACTCTAGGTCCCACGATCACCAGCAAACTGCTAATCTGGGATGGGAGAGGAAAAGACAATTCAGAGAAGGATTTCTTTCCTATGTGGGTAAATGGGCCAGTGTGGCAGCTTTCACATTCTGAGGGCTGGAATGGGTACAAAGGACAGGCTGAATGCAACAGAGGTGCTGGGAAGAGCAGGAACAGCGGGGAGGGAGGGAGGCAGCTCCCCCAGAAGAGATCAGGAAAGTTCTCAGACACCTGGGGGCTCCCGCAGAGCCAGTAGTGATGTAAGATGGATGTGACTGCATTGTAATCCAGCAAAGGTGGTTTATTTTCGGGCCTTACACCAGGCAAGAGCTAAGGAAATCACCTCTGTCTCCAGCATGAATCAGTGGATCTAAGAAAATACTTAAAAAATATTTTGGAAATGCTGAAAGACAGAAACACAGATTTTCCATCCATTGGTTGACTCCTCAAATGCCACATCAAAGCCAGGAGCCTGCAACTCAATCCTGATCCCCAATGTGGGTGGCAGGCACACAAGTATTTGAGCCATCACCTGCTGCTGGCTCCCAGGGAGCACGTTAGCAGGAAGCTGGAATCAGAAGCAGAGCCGGGACTTGAATCCAGGCACTCTGACATGGGACGTGGGCATTGCAAGAGGCCTCCTATCTGCGAAGACAAATACTCACCCCAGAACAACTCTTTACAGGCCCATTTCCCTGCAACCCCTGGGTATACTCTCAAGCCTCTCTGCTCTCCCTAACCCCTCCTTGGAGGCCCAGAATCACACGAGGTTCTGAGGCATTCAGTTATGAATGCAGCAAGAAATCTGAGAAACCATCCAGGCTGCAGAGTCGGGCAGCTCTGAGCTCACCAGACTGGCTTTGCCACTTAACCTGGGCAATTCATTTAATCTGAGATTTTAATGTACTTGTCTGGAGAGTGGGTATTAGAATTTTGGATACTCTTCTTGTTTGTATCAAGGACTAAATTCAATAATATACTTCAAGCCTAGTGCCCAGTATATTTCACAGTAATATACATGGGTACTTAAAAAATTACATGGAAGATGGATTTAAAAGGTAAGTACATCATGTTGCAAACATTTTTAAACACATGCCTATGTGGGGGTCCTCAAAAAAGTTCATAGAAAATGTATATTATGGAAAACTATCAGGACCGGTGCTGCGGTACAGTGTGGTAAAGCCCCATATGGGTGCTGGTTCGAGTCCCAGCTGCTCCACTTAAGATCCAGCTCTCTGCTATGGTGTGGGAAAGCAGTAAAGGATGGCCCAAGTCTTTGGGCCCCTGCACCTACTTGGGAGACCCAGAAGAAGCTCCTGGGTCCTGGCTTTGGATCAACTCAGCTCTGGCCATTGTGGCCATCTGGGGAGTGAACCAGCAGATAGAAGACCTTTCTCTCTCTCTGCATAACTCTGACTTTCAAATAAATAAATAAATCTTAAAAAAAAAAGGATAGTCCTTGTCACTCATCATAACGAGGTATAGTAAGTGCTATGATAGGGATAGTAGAAAGCACATGTGGGTCCATAGGAGGGTCCCTAATATACAAAGGAGATCAGGAAAGACTTCCTGGAAGAATGAAAAGTTCCAGCTAAGACTTTAAGTACAAAAAGGAGTTAGCCAGAAGAAATGTGCAGAGCGTGGACAAGTGAGGAAAAGCAGAAGAGTGTCCCAGGCAGGTGAGCTATATAGATGAAGGCCTTGAAAATAAAGAAAGCATGACATGCCCAGAGGGCCACAATAATGTCTGGCTAGACCACACCAGGGGAGGTGAAGGTGGAAATGGATGCAGGGGCCTAGGGATAATGAATCTGTTCTTGTACACTGTCTGAAACCTCACAGTCCTTGTGAATACGGTGTCTGTAGAGCTGCAAGAACTGCAGGATTTGCAAGGTGCTTAGAGGCCTGTGCCAGCTGAGCTCTAACTCCATCCTGCCTAGAGTGGGTTGGTATGCACCTGGGGCGGGGCCCTTCCTAACCAGAATAATGTGGTCCAGCCCACTTACTAGAAAGCAGGTAGGAGAGACTCACACTGTGGTCTAGGCTGTGACACCACAACACTAGCATGACCATTCTGCCTTCAACTGGGCAACTGTGGGCATCCAGAAAACGATGGGCTTCTCCGAGTTGCTCTAGCAAGGGGCCTTCCAGGTAATGCTATGATTCGAAGAGATGACACTCAGCTGCTGGGTCTGGCTAGTCCCTGACTTCTGAGGTGAAACTCCAAATATGAATGACAGCTCAAGGCCTCAGGTTTACTGACTAACCCTGTCCTCCCCTTGTACTTTTGAATGTCGACTTACCCGCTGCTTATCTGGGTCCACAAAGCGGATTCCAAAATAGTCTTTCTCAAGTAGGTTCAGGTGGTGGCAAAGAAGGTCAAACAAGTACTGGCCTTTGGCATCTCTCTGCAAAAAAAGAGCAAGTTCCATGAAGAAATGAGTGAGTTTCTGCAGTATAACCCTGTCTTTATAAGTCCCTAAAGATTATGTATCACTGCTGCATGTAGGCATGAAAGCGGCACGTGTCTGTACCCATGTCTGCGCTCTGAATTGTGATGCGTCAGACTTCTCTGGAAGTCTGAGGTGTTTGGCCCCTGAAAGGATCCTCCCACCACAAGGAGACCAGGAAAGCTGGAGTAGGGTCAGGGAAGCCCAGCTCCAATCAGGGGTGCAGAGCACCTGGGCCACAGATGGGCTAAGGCTGGAAATCACTTGGTTTGGCCTGCCAACGCAACTGCAGGCAGGACTCAAAATTCACTAAGTCCACAGCAGGCTGATTTTTAAGCTGATTATTTCATATGGCCTGTGAATGATGCTGCAAATATCCAAACGGGCAGAAAAAAAGTTCCCCATCCCTGTGTAAGTAGAAAGTTTCCTTGAACTAGTGGGAGAATGTCAGTGCAGTCTATAGCAGTAATTACACCAAGTACAGCTAGCTCTGCCAATCAAGTGTAACGTTGTACTCCTACCACCAAGTCCACAGGTCAAGCTACCACTCTCTCATCTGGACAAGCTTCCCTCACAGCCTTCTAACTGATTCTCTGCTTTTTCTCTTGCCTTAGTCCATTCTTCACACAGCAACCAGGTTGAGCACAATTTAAACTTTTTTTTTTCTGAGTATGTAATACAGGCACATTGTTATTATATAGAAACATGCAGAGGGCTACATTAGAAAGAGTAAGCCTGGGGCCAGCATTGTGGAAAGTGGATTAAGCCACCGCCTGCAATTCTGCTAATGTGCCTGGGAAAGCAGCAGAGGATGGTCCAAGTGCTTGGGCTCCTTCCACTCACATGGAAGACCCAGATGGAGTACCTGGCTCTTGGCTTTGGCCTGGCCCAGCTCTGGCCATTGTAGCCACTTGGGGAGTAAACCAGCAGATGGAGGCTCTTTCTCTCTTTCTCTCTCCCTCTCTCCCTCTCCTATCTCTGTCACCCTGCCTTTCAAATAAGTAGACTTTTCTTAAAAAAAAAAAAAAAAAAAAGAGTAAGCCTTCCTTCTCCCTTAGTCACCTTGTGTACCTCCCTGGCCCATTCCATCCCCTGGTTTACTCCCAAGTGGATGCAGGGGCCCAGGGACTTGGGCCATCCTCCATTGCTTTCCCAGGCCATAGCAGAGAACTAGATCGGAACTGGAGCAGCTGGGACTAGAACCATTGACCATGTGGGATGCCGGCACTGCAGGTGGTGGCTTTACCCACTATGCCATAGCACCAGCCCCTCTAACATTTTTATACTCTGAACTGTTTGATTTTTTTCCTCCTACTGTGGATAAATCCTTCAGTAACAGTAGACACAAACAGGTCTCCCAGTTTTTAACTTCTGCATACTGATGTAATGAACCTAATTTATTTGCCCATATTGATGGAATTTCTTTTTTAAAAAAAAGACTTATATATTTGAAAGGTGGAGTTACAGAAAGAGGCAGAAACAGAGATCTTCCTTCCCCTGGTTTACTCCCCAAATGGCTTCAACGACCAGAGCTGATTGGAAGCCAGGAGCAAGGAGCTTCTTCCCAGTCTCCCACATGGGTGCAGGGGCCCAAGGACTTGGACCATCTTCCATTGCTTTCCCAGGCATGTTAGTAGGGAGCTGGATCAGAAGTGGAGCAGTCAGGACTCATACTGGTATCCATAAGGGATGCTGGCACTACAAGCAGTGGCTTTACTATGCCACAGCGCCAGCCCCTAGAATTTGTTTAATTTTTTATTTATTTACTTGAAAGGCCGAAAGAGAGAGAGAGAGTCTTCCATCTGCTGGTTCACTCCCCAGATGGCTGCAATGACTAGAGCTGGGCCAATCTGAAGCCAGGAGCTTCTTCTGGGACTCCCACATGGGTGCAGGGGCCCAAGGACTTGGACCATCTTCCATTGCTTTCCCAGGCATGTTATTAGGGAGCTGGATCAGAAGTGGAGCAGTCAGGACTCATACTGGTATCCATAAGGGATGCTGGCACTACAAGCAGTGGCTTTACTATGCCACAGCGCCAGCCCCTAGAATTTGTTTAATTTTTTATTTATTTACTTGAAAGGCCGAAAGAGAGAGAGAGAGTCTTCCATCTGCTGGTTCACTCCCCAGATGGCTGCAATGACTAGAGCTGGGCCAATCTGAAGCCAGGAGCTTCTTCTGGGACTCCCACATGGGTGCAGGGGCCCAAGGATTTGAGCCATCTTCTACTGCTTTCCCAGGCCATAGCAGAGAGCTGGATTGGAAATGGAGCAGCTGGAACTAGAACCGGCGCCCATATGGGATGCTGGCACTGCAGGCAGTGGCTTTACCCATTATGCCATAGCACTGGCCCCCAGAATTTGTTTCTAATTTGTTATTACAAACCAAGAAGCTGTGAATACTTAGTGGTCCTTAATTATGCTATTCACCTATGCTTAACACTGCCAGTGGCTTCCCACTGTTCTCAGGTCAAATCTAAATTCTGACTGTGGCCTCTATCACTCTACATAGCCTATCTCCTTCCTCCTTTCTGAACTCACCCCAAATCTTCCTCCTCATCACTCTGTGGCATGGCCTTTCTGTTCTGGAAAACTCCAAAGCTTCTCTGCCTCTGCATCTTTGTATTCCTTCTGCCTGGAGTTGTCTTCCTGAAGCTCTTCAGTCACCCCTACTATCCTCGAGGCCTCAGCTCCAATGTCCCTCCTGCAGAATGGTCCCTTCCAGTTACTTTCCATCCCATGATCCTGTTTGTGCCCTTCACAGCACTTACTAAAATCTATAAGTGCCTTGTTGATTTGTCTACTGATTTATCAATCAGCTGTTCCCTTCAGAAACTGTAACTTTCGTGAGGGCAGGAATCTTTCCTCAAAACTTAACACAAAGTACTGGTACTATGGCAGGTGGGTCCTTAGTCATTATTTATTAAGTAAGTGGTTGAATGACTGAGCTAGAAGGTTGGCTAAAAGGTTTAACAAAATGGTGAGCATCTAGGCTTTTTATAAGCCACGGCCTTCTGCTTCAGGGATCTGCCTGAGAAGCTGGGAGGAGAATGACCCACAAGAAATCATCAGAAAGTTTGGAGCCCTGTAAAGCATCCACTCCAAAGCCTGTCCCAGTGGTCTCTGCAGCTCAGCTCTGCTCTGGCAGGTCCTTGTCCAAGTCTGCATCTGAACTGAGGTTGTCTTATGAAATTCAAAGATCTCACTTGAGCCAGGGCCCAAGGCCATTGGTAATCATAAAAGGTCATATATAAGAATGGGCAGGGGCCAGAGCTGTGGCGTAGGGGGCTAAGCCACCACCTGTGGCACCAGCATCCCACAGGGGCACCAGTTTGAGTCCTGGCTACTCTTCTTATCCAGCACTCTGTTATGGCCTGGGAAAGGAGTAGAAGATGGCCCAAGTGCTTGGGCCCTGGCACCCAAGTGGGAGACCCAGAGAACTCCCTGGCTTCTGGCTTTGGATTGGCCTAGCTCTGGCCATTGTGGCCATTTGGAGAGTGAACCAGCGGATCAAAGACCTCTCTGTCTCTCCCTCTCTGTCTATAACTCTACCTCCCAAATAAATAAATAAATCTTTAAAAAAATTGGCATATTTTTTACTTTTATTTATTTTAAAAGGATGTATTTATTTGAAAGACAGAGTGACAGAAAGACCGACAGACAGCAATCTTCCACCTGCTGGCTCACTCCCCAGATATCTGCAAGGGCAGGGATAAATCAGGCTGAAGCCAGGAACTCCATCCAGGTCTTCTATGTTGGTGGTAGTAACCCAAATAATTGGGCCATGATCCACCACCTCCCAGGTACATGGACAGGGAGCTAGATCAGAAGTACAGGGCAGGGGCTGGCTCCATGGCACAATAGGTTAATCCTCTGCCTGCAGCGCCAGCATACCATATGGGCGCCGATTCTAGTCCTGGCTGCTCCTCTTCCAACCCAAGCTCTCTGCTATGCCCTGGGAAAGCAGTAGAACATGGTCCAAGTCCTTGGGCCCCTGCACCCACGAGTGAGACCGGGAAGAAGCACCTGGCTCCTGGCTTTGTATTGGTGCAGCTCCAGCCATTGCAGCCATCTGGGGAGTGAACCAACGGAAGGAAGACCTCTCTCTCTGTCTCTCCCCCTCACTGTCTGTAACTCTACCTCTCAAATAAATAAGTAAAAAATCTAAAAAAAAGAAGTACAGGGCAGCCAGGAATGGAGCCATGCTCTCTGACCTGGGATGCAGGCATCTTAATTGGTGGCTTAAGCCACTGCACCACAATATCGGCCTGTGCATACATAAAAGGTTTACATCTCACCTCTCCTTCTGCTGGTTCACACTTTACTATCAAAGGAGAACTGGACAGGATACTAGTCTCTCAACAACTATCTTCAGAAGCTATGCTTGCAGGAGCTGAAGGATAAGTGAGTGGAGAGCTCACCTAAAGGAGGGGACAACAGGCGGGCACCCCTTCTCTAATGCTGGCCTCACATCCTGCCTACGGCACAGCTGTAAGGAAAAGATTGCAGATTGGTGCTGCCTCACATGGGCCACCAAATGTAAGGAAAAGGGGTGCAGAACAGAGAGGAGATGGAATACGAATGCACAGTCAGACCAAATTTATTTGGAGAAAATAAACTTGCAGAGGTCAACAAATTGCCAATATGTACACAGTCTGAAAGAACATGTGGCAGAGGGCCCAGATCCCAAGGTGGGCTTTTTTATGTCTTTGGTGGGATAGGGGTAGGGTTAGGGGCCAGTAGGTGGAGATGAGCTTCTCCATACTGATTCTTCAAGTTTGGCCCACTGGCTTCCCCTAAGGGAAGCTCCTAGAATTCTCTCTCCTCAGGACCAAATGGGTTACCTAACCTGATAGCACAGGGCAATAAGACCTTCACAGATGCCCTAAGAGAAGCCCCTCTGCTCTGCCCTGTGCCAACAAACCTGGGGAGGAATTTGCTAATTTTCATCCAATAAATCCT